TTGCACACCCGCCCAGCTCCCTCCGCACAGCCCCACCCGCCTGGCGGCCACTGTGGTTTTCCTGAGCCAGGTGGCCGAGCTCTACTGTCTTGATTCTATTTACAGCTGCGACTAGTGTCTGACTGACCACCCAGGTGCTGGCTCTCCAGCCCAAACCCCTCATCTGCTTAGGAGCTCCTCAGGGTAGGAGCCTCCAGCTGAAGGCCCGGCCTCCCCGAGGGGCGCCTGCTCCTGCTGTTTTTACCGAGAGCGAGAAGGAGCCGGGCCTCGGCCAGTGGGCCCGTCCCTGCGCCCACATGACACCGATGGTACACAAGGCAGGCCTTGCACATCCGCCATCCTCCGGAGTCCTGGACTCCGAGTCCTCTGGCTGCGTGTGGGGCCCCGTCCGCAAGCCCCGGGTGCGTGGTATGGCCAAGCACCGAGGTGTTGGGTTCGGTTAGGTTCAGAGATGGGCGGGGCCATCCTGGCCCTGGTTCTGCTCCTGGTCCAAGGACTAGCAGAACCATCCCAGCGGAGCTTTGGCACCTGCATCTAGAGCTCCTGACCCCCCAGCCCGAGACTGGAATGGGAGCGGGACAGGGACCTGCCTGTCCTCCCCCGCCCAGACTCCGGCTAAGCTGGACAGAGCGGGCCTTCTCCTTCCCCGGCTCATCTCCCCACTGCCTCACCCAGCAGCAGCAGCTTGACAGTCTTGGCCTCCTTGTCTGCGTCCTCCTGCAGCTTCCGTTCCAGCTCCTTGGACCGCTTGGCCAGCTGTCTGTCCTCAGCGCTGACTCCGCTCCCCATCGCCCGCTGTCTCCTCCGGCGGCTTCTCCTCTAGGGTCTCCGGGTCTGAGAGGAGGAAGGTAAGGGAGCAGTAAACTGGGGTGGAGTGTCAGATCCGCAGGCCTGAGAGGCGGGTCTGCAGGGGCCTGGGGAGGGAGCCTGCTCCACGTCTCGTCCCTGCCCCAGCTGGAGAGCTGCTTAGTCTGGGGATTGCGGCCTTTACATCCAGCGCTGTGATGGCCAAGCCAATTAAGAGCTCAGTATGACAAAGGGCAAAGACTCCGTGTTTCTGTGACCAGGGAGGTGGCCTGCTGGGTTCGGACACGGGAGAACAGGGTGCGGGTGCTGGGGATCTGCAGTGAGATAGCGACTGCCCCTCCTTTTCAGGGGCTGACCCCCTAAAAGTCTCTTTCACAGAGATTCTGGGGTCTTGTTTCAAGGCACCGAAGCACACCCCTCTGTCCTCCATCACCATAGGCGGCTCTGACAGGGCCTTTTGTTTGGGGTGCTGCCCTTCCTTGGGAAGATTAGAAATGTTTTTTCCAGCCCGGCTGGCGTGGCTCAGTGGTTGAGCCTTGATCTATGAACCAGGAGGTCAAGGTTCGGTTCAATTCCCCGTCAGGGCACATGCCCGGGTTATGAGCTCAATCCCCAGTGGGAGGCATGTAGGAGGCAGCCGATCAATGATTCTCTCTCATCATTGATGTTTCTCTCTTTCTCCCTCTCCCTTCCTCTCTGTAATCAATAAAAATACATTAAAAATAAAAAAGAAATGCAGACACTGAGGCCTTACCCCAGACCTTCTCAGAAGCTCCCTTTCTGGCAGGATCGAAAGTGATTTCAAGGACAGGGAAGTGTCACAGAGATTCTGGGGTCTTGTTTCAAGGCACCGAAGTATACCCCTCCGTCTTCCATCACCGCAGGCGGCCCTGGCGAGGGCTTTTTGTTTGGGGTGCTGCCCTTCCTTGGGAAGATTAGAAATGTTTTTTCCAGCCCGGCTGGCGTGGCTCAGTGGTTGATCACAGAGATTCTGGGGTCTTGTTTCAAGGCACCGAAGCACACCCCTCTGTCCTCCATCACCATAGGCGGCTCTGACAGGGCCTTTTGTTTGGGGTGCTGCCCTTCCTTGGGAAGATTAGAAATGTTTTTTCCAGCCCGGCTTGTGTGGCTCAGTGGTTGAGCCTTGATCTATGAACCAGGAGGTCAAGGTTCGGTTCAATTCCCCGTCAGGGCACATGCCCGGGTTATGAGCTCAATCCCCGATTTAATTGGTCTGGAATGCAGTCCAGACATGAAGATTTTTCTTTCCTTTTTTAAAAAAGTAATTTTTTATGGATTTCAGAGAGGAAGGGAGAGAGAGAGATTGAAGAGAATCATTGATCGGCTGCATCCTGCATGCCTACCCCCCACACACACACACACACTCTCCCCACTGGGGATCGAGCCCGCAATCAGGGCATGTGCCCTGACCGGAAATTGAGCCTTGACCTCCTGGTTCATAGGTTGACGCTCAACCACTGAGCCACGCCGGCTGGGCCAGGCATGAAGATTTTTAAATCGTCTCTATGATTCTAATGTGCAGCCAAAGCAGGGAACCATTGAGCTCAAAGGATTTCACTTTCTCTGTCCTTTTAGAGCTGGGACAGTGAGCGGTGGCCTGTGGGACTGAGAGAGGGGGAGGTAGGACCTCGGTCTCCCACCTGCCAGGAACCCTGAGCACCTGCCGACCATCTTGCTCCTCCTGCCGCCCTGCAGCTGCGTATCTGGGGATCTGAGAAGCACTGGGCCTGGGCCCAGACTCTCGGGGCTGATGGAGAACTAGGCAGCCACCAAGGTGCCGTCCACGGTGACCGTGTTTTCACAGTCAAAAATGGACACGTGCTCAGCGACAAGGGAAAACAGGAGAGTGCCCTTGAAATGGTGACTGTCCTGGAATCTTGGCTATAAGGTTTCAGTAATACCTGCCCTAGCCTACCAACAATATTGGTAACTTACACCAGGGCCCGAGCTGTGCTGTGCCCTGCACTATTCACAGCAAGGAGCAGCCAGGGACTGTACTAAACAGTTTATGGGGCTCAGATCAATTCATTCTCACAGTAACTTCAAGCTGAGTGCTCTTGTCCCCATTTTACAGGCCGGATAACTGAGACTTGGGGGTTAAGTCACTTGTTCAAGGTCACAAAGCTTAGTAAACAGACATACCATGTTCTCTTTCTATGGCCCTCGAATAAGCGGCCAAAGAAAGAACACTTGGGGAAAAAAAAAAAAGAACACTTGGGCAAAACAGGCAAACGCAGGATCTTAATCACAGCTGCCCGTGCCTTGTCAAAGGAACCTGACTTGTTTCACAACCAGGGAAAATGCTTAGCTTGTTCCTTTTTCAGCTGCCACCTCTGCAAACTTCTGTGCTGCTTCTGCGTGCTTCCTGCTTGCTGGCTCCCCTTCCCCACGACTAAGCTGAGCAGGGGAACTCTTGATCCTCACCTGGTCTGCTTGCACAGACCCGCTACTGCGCATGCACCCAGTGACCTGCCTCGGTCTCCAGCTCCTGTGCCTTCCCTGTGGCAGCTCCTTTATCATCGCATTTGGGTTCAGTGCCCTGGTGGAGTCAGTAGAGCATGTAGGTGCCATTCCCATTTCAGAGGGGAGTGAACAGAAGCAGAGAAAGGTGATCCTCATAGTGCTAATGGCATTGGGGTTTGGGGGTTCCCCAAGATAGAAATCGAGAGGAAACCCCAGGGAAATTTCCAGACAGATTTTATTAAGCTTACACTTGAGCACAAGGGAAGCAGTACGGAGCTGGCTTCGTGGCTGGCTCTGTTTGGCCGCTTTTATAAGCTGGGTCTCTATGATTCTAATGTGCAGCCAAAGCAGGGAACCATTGAGCTCAAAGGATTTCACTTTCTCTGTCCTTTTAGAGCTGGGACAGTGAGCGGTGGCCTGTGGGACTGAGAGAGGGGGAGGTAGGACCTCGGTCTCCCACCTGCCAGGAACCCTGAGCACCTGCCGACCATCTTGCTCCTCCTGCCGCCCTGCAGCTGCGTATCTGGGGATCTGAGAAGCACTGGGCCTGGGCCCAGACTCTCGGGGCTGATGGAGAACTAGGCAGCCACCAAGGTGCCGTCCACGGTGACCGTGTTTTCACAGTCAAAAATGGACACGTGCTCAGCGACAAGGGAAAACAGGAGAGTGCCCTTGAAATGGTGACTGTCCTGGAATCTTGGCTATAAGGTTTCAGTAATACCTGCCCTAGCCTACCAACAATATTGGTAACTTACACCAGGGCCCGAGCTGTGCTGTGCCCTGCACTATTCACAGCAAGGAGCAGCCAGGGACTGTACTAAACAGTTTATGGGGCTCAGATCAATTCATTCTCACAGTAACTTCAAGCTGAGTGCTCTTGTCCCCATTTTACAGCCCGGATAACTGAGACTTGGGGGTTAAGTCACTTGTTCAAGGTCACAAAGCTTAGTAAACAGACATACCATGTTCTCTTTCTATGGCCCTCGAATAAGCGGCCAAAGAAAGAACACTTGGGGAAAAAAAAAAAAGAACACTTGGGCAAAACAGGCAAACGCAGGATCTTAATCACAGCTGCCCGTGCCTTGTCAAAGGAACCTGACTTGTTTCACAACCAGGGAAAATGCTTAGCTTGTTCCTTTTTCAGCTGCCACCTCTGCAAACTTCCGTGCTGCTTCTGCTTGCTTCCTGCTTGCTGGCTCCCCTTCCCCACGACTAAGCTGAGCAGGGGAACTCCTGATCCTCACCTGGTCTGCTTGCACAGACCCGCTACTGCGCATGCACCCAGTGACCTGCCTCGGTCTCCAGCTCCTGTGCCTTCCCTGTGGCAGCTCCTTTATCATCGCATTTGGGTTCAGTGCCCTGGTGGAGTCAGTAGAGCATGTAGGTGCCATTCCCATTTCAGAGGGGAGTGAACAGAAGCAGAGAAAGGTGATCCTCATAGTGCTAATGGCATTGGGGTTTGGGGGTTCCCCAAGATAGAAATCGAGAGGAAACCCCAGGGAAATTTCCAGACAGATTTTATTAAGCTTACACTTGAGCACAAGGGAAGCAGTACGGAGCTGGCTTCGTGGCTGGCTCTGTTTGGCCGCTTTTATAAGCTGGGGACAACGAGGGCTTGTGCAAAAAGAAAGATGGGCTTGCTGGAAAAGGCGGCTGGTGAAGGGTTCAGGGGGTGGAATTTAACATGTCAGGGTGGGGTTACTTCCTCCTTCTTTTGGGTTGCTTGGCAACTATCTCTGGCCTGTGCTGTGGGGGCAAGATGGTGGTGTTGCTCATTATCGCCACCGCTGGAAGGTTGCGTAGCGGACAAACCTTGATCAACTGAGCATGCTCCAGATGTGGTTTTGACATCGTCTGGCCACCTGGTCTTAACTTGTCTTCCTGGCCATCTGGTTTTTTTTCATTCCTGGGCCCAAGTCCTTATCCTGCCTCATTTCCCCCGGGAGGTTTTATCCTCCTTATTCTGAAGGGATTAGGGTCAGAGGTCTCCGGTGACTGCTTCCTGCTGAGCGAGGGAGGAATACAATTCTCTCGCTGTCTCATTTGAAGAGCAGCGAGGGCTCAGGCCTTCCTTGTCCGGGATGGGCTGGCAGCCTGGCAAGACCATCAGCTTCATGAACATGGAACTGTTGCCATCTGGAGGAGACAAACTACGAGAAGGTTAAAGAGACAAGGCCCAAATACCAGGGGGAGTAGAAGGACCATCGGGGCACAGAGGGGAAAGCCAGGTAAGTGAAGGCAGGTCACCATGAATGGATTCCCAGATTTAATGTGGATTGTGCTTTTTTTTAAGCAAGATTTTGCATTTATTTTCAGTTTTGGTGGTTGCTTGCAACCAAATGAACAAATGTTTTCAAAATACCGAGAGCTTTATGTTGGGCAGGTCCTCAGTGTTAACACCATTTATTTCAGCTCTGGAGTCCTCTCAGCAGCCGTTACAGCAGCATTGTGTTCTGAGTGCTGGTGTTCAGGGTATACTCCTTTTTAAAAAAAATATTTTCATTGACTTCAGAGGGGAAGGGAGGGGACAGAGAGATGGAAACAGTAATGATGAGAGAGAATCATTGATCGGCTGCCTCCTCCACGCCCCCCACTAGGGATGGAGATAACAACCCAGGCATGTGGTCGGCTGCCTCCTGCACGCCCCCCCACTAGGGATCGAGACTACAACCGGGGCATGTGGTCCCGACCGGGAATCGAACCATGACTTCCTGGTTCATAGGTCAG